GGCTGTGCGCCGGGAGCACCCGGGGACCCGAGAATAGGGACCAGTGCGCCGGCCAGAGCTCGGGCGCAGGCGGCTCTGGGCTAGGCTCTCCGCGGGGTGAGGCTGGGAACCGTGGGCCGGCTCTAGGTTCCTCTTTCTCCCGGCTTCAGGAGCCCTTTGGCCGGCGCTTACTTGGCGTCACCAGCCTGGAGCTGGCTTCGAGAGGCTGGAAGCCGGAGCAGCCCCATACTGGGGCCGGGTGGTTGAGTCAAGAAACGGCGGCTGCGTCCTCCCCAGCGGTGCCTGGCCTGGGTAGGCAGGGCGAGTAGAGGTTTGCAGGAGAATCAGTGGGGAAAGGGGAACGCAAGTGGGGTCAGGAAAGCCGGGAACCGAGGGGCCACGCTCAGAGACCCTAGCCTGAGGAGGAGCGAGAATTTGTAGGGTCACTGGCTTCCCGCGTATTGTTGGGGTGCTTTTTGGTAAGGGAAAGGGAGTCGTAGGGGCCAGTGGCGAAGCTTGGAAATAGGTAGAGCTCCTGGTTCGAGAACTAGGGGATGAAATCGTAAAAGATGGGTCGGGGGGAGGAGACCGATAGCGCCCAAGAACAGAAAGCTGAGGGGGATGGGGCAGGGTCCAGAGTCTGCCGCGCAAAGTTTGTTTCTTTCGGGTTAGGCGAGGGGGCTCTCCTGGCTCCCAGAACCGAGAAAGAAACCCGCGCAGTGGGCCGCCCTTTCTGGGGGCTCTTCATTGGAGATCCCGGGGTTCCCGCGAGGTGGGGAGACCTGGTTTGGGAATGGGAGGGGGCTTGTGAATCGGCCCTGAATTAGGGCTGGGCTTTAAGGCTGGCTAGAGTTTGGGTTATGGGATTCAAGCTGTTTTCAGAATCAGGATTGAAGGGCCGCTGGGTAGTTTACATGCCGGCCAGAGCGGAGGGCTGGAGGTAGGAGTCGGGGGCCCAGGGTTAAATTTGAAGCTAGAATCGGCGGGACGGGTGGTGTTTTCAGGAATAACTCTTTATTGGGGTCCAGGCTATTAGAGATAGGGGAGGGTTGTGTGTTCGGTTCCTTAAGGTCCGCGGGTGGAAAAGCGTTTAGGTAAGCAACGAAAGTAGTTGATCTGAGCCTTGGCAGGCGAGCCCCGAATGTCCGCCGCTTCTCCCAGAACGCGAATCTGGAGGAGGAGAGCGTTTGGGGCGCACAAGATTCGGTCCTAGGAGAGAGATTCTGGGAAGCGGACGAATTAAGAGACATTCTGGGGGAAGCGATAGGGTATCCTTGCAGGGTTTGGAGTAGATCTGAGGACCCTATATTGGTGGCTCAGCGGGATTCCCGATGCACTTCGGGTCTGCGGGGCCAGGCGGTGAGGCGGGTGGCCTGAGGGGGGCTGCGGCCTGCGATGGGGGGGGAAGGGGAAGCGCTAGCAGTGAGCTGCCACATTGGGCGGAAGAGTCGCGACTGCGTCCCAGGGCAGGCCGGGCTCGAACTCTGGCGCCCAGATCTCAGCGCCGCCTGTACACCGGCAAGCGCTGCTGGGAAGCCTACGAGCCCGATTACTGCTGCAATGTTTTGCACCAGCGGGAGAAAGAAGTTAGGGTTTCCCTACCGTCATCCCACTTGTCTTCGGACTTCTCCAGAGTATTGGCTTTTAGGAATTTAAACGCTCTCCAAACTGGTGGAACCCCAAAGCTTCTCATTTTAGGCAGATTTAAACTACTCTCCCACTCACCCGAATCTGAGAAATGATACTGTTTAAACACAACATGATATATTACCCAAAGCCCCATCCCCTAGCCTTCCTGCTTTCTCTGCTACTCTGGCCTTTCCGAGGCCCCAGGACCTTGGTGTGCGTGTGCGTTTGTGTCTGTGTGTGTGGTGGTGGCGGGGATGTTTTCCCTTTTTGGACTCAGGCACTCCCACTCAAGCTGCATCCCTGCTTCTCCGGCCTAGATCGGGGGTGTGCGGAGTGGGAAGTCCGGACCAGGAAGGGAGGCTGTTCTCTGGACAGGGAATGTGTTGGAGGTTCGGGGGGTAAAGGGGAAGAAGGTTTGAGATTTCTTCCTTGCAATCTTAAATCTGTCCCCTTCCAGCCCCGCGCACCCCTCGCACCCCTGGCTGGGAGAGCCAAAAGGCCCTTAGGGGACACAGAAGCCGCGCGACCCAGGAGTGGCCACTGCGGGCCGGGGCGCGGAGACCGCCTCGGCGGCAGAGCTCCAAGGCTGTTGTTTTTCAGGCTTGGAATTCGTGTGCGCTCTCTCCCGCCGAGAGCCTGGGGGGTGGGGAGGGAGCCGTGACCCCACGGAGACTCCCCGGTCACCGCCTCCCCTTTGTGAGCGCGAAAGGCATGAAAGCCGAGAGAAAGAGGAGCTGCTCCGAATAAGGGCCAGGGGGTTACTGGAGAGAGATGGGCCCTGACCACCGCTCCCAGTAAAATGCCTCGTGCAAATTGCACTGAAGTGTACCTAACTTGAGACTGGCTGTTTTATGATCCTTTCTCGGAGTTTACTGCTCTGTGCTTTTAAGTCTATAGATTGCTTTAAGTTAATGAAAGTGCTGCTTTCAAAAGGGGCTTTTATTGTGCAGCAGTGACAAATCCAGTACCTCCCCTTTACTCTTCCAAAATGGGCCTGTTTAGCAAGAAGGAGCTTGCTGGAGTTCCCACATAAACGAAGCCTGGGGAGGGGGCACCATGTGACAATGAGGATTAATAAAAGTCAGTGCCCCAGTAATTCAGAAAGATGAGTTTACTTCTTTCCCAGGCCAGTTTCATCTGTACATCCCTCTATTGCTTTGGGGGCTCTCTAGCTGGCTCTGGCTTTAAATGTCCCTCTGTGCTTCCCTAACAGCCCCCTACCACATTGCTTTAGGTAGGCCTGACCCACTCAATTCAACCCAAACTGAATTTCAGGATTTCAGCCCCCTGCCAATTCAAACTGCAACTAAAATATTTACTTGGGCACTGGGGGAGGGGTTTTGCCTTGCATTCAGTAAGATAAATGTGTTTAAATGATGGGAACCTTGAGAAGGAACAAGGCAGGCTGTTTTTCAGTGCTTTTTCTTTTTTCAAACTATTTGGCACAAAAGGTGAGATGACAAGGTTTTTTGACTAGATCCTAACATCGAAACTGCAGTGGGGCTGGGCTGTGGCTTTGACCGCATGTCATAACCATTTAAACTGTGGTTAGTTGTTCAAAGCTCAAAGCTTCTCCAAGCTGGGTTTCATTAACTCTACACCAGTTGCCTGGAAGTTCAGTAGCAATAAATTGTATAAACACATTTGAAGTAAGTTAGTGATGAAATAAGGAGAATTACTGTCTTGTGAGTGGAGAATCCTGAATTCATGGAGTTCTAGTTTAACTGGAAACATACCACCTCTCTCTTGGCCTTGAAGTTTATGGGTGCACCGCAGTGTGTGTTCAATTTCTTTTTGCCATGTCCATCTTCAACTGGGAGCTGTAACTCATTAGAGACCAAGACATACCTAGAAAGCAAAAAGGCTGTGTTTTAAAGGGGTCTCTATTAGCCTGATTTAGGAACCATACCTAACCTAACCTGACTTCCTTATCCTTCCTGAATGCTGCATGCAACATAAACAGCCACAGAAAAGGGGCAAATTAGATTTTTAAATGTTAGAGGCTTAATAATACTGTGTTGTTAGCAACTGAAATTGTTTTTATTAAAGAAACAACCAATAAAATTTATAGGCTTCCAACATGTTGCAAGATTTCCTTGCTATTTATTTAGCTCCCCACCACCACCTTTCAGAAATGTTATCTCCAATTTCAGACTTTTGTTTCTGATTTATTTAATCCGGAGCACATTTTCTAAATTAGTTGGAGGAGGGTGCGAAATGCTGTTATAAGTTTTTCTTTTTCCTATGCTGGGTGGCACAAGGACTGTATGCTGTAAGATATATATAAATGTGTGATGCAATTGCTGGAGGTTGACTGCATGTGAAGCGAAGTGTCTGGTTCAAACAAAATGTAGATCCCAGGATGGAGAGGGAGAAAACGATGCCGCAGAGGAAAAACAGAGGAAGTTACATGGAAAATGAAATCATCTCAAGCCACCGTGAGCCTTGAGTCTAGCCAACACACCATGCTTTGTATAAGACACTTCACATGAGATCCGTGACTTATTGAAGATTGAATTATATTGAGAAGCTGAATTTAGAGGGAGGAGCTGCGCTTGCTGGGTTCTATCCAGGCAACATGGCCAGGATTGTTGCGATGGGGCTCTGCTAATTTAATTAAATCTAATACCTGATGGGGAAAGGAGGAAGGAGGGAGAGAGGGAAGTGGTCGGGTGATAATTGAGGCTGGCAGGTCAGCATGCTGAGCTAGTCTGTAGACTGGAATTTGGGGGACTGGTAGCTTTGTGCCCTGTTACTGCGGGGCTGCACCACTCCAGCGGGTCCTCCAAGCTGCTAGACCTTGCTTTCTTCATCTGTAAAGTGGAATGTAGCACATACAGTTCTCATTAAGCTATGAGGGGTGAAGGATGGGCATGAATCAAGCTCAGAACACTTCAATAATAAAACAGGAGATAGAGGTTTCTCGGTGGCAAAGTCACGTTCTTCCACATGTTTCCTTTCCTTTCCTGGATCTACAGCCTGGCCCCATAAGTCTCAGGAGTTCTAAAGACTTTGGTAAAGGGGCAGAACTCCTGCCTTCCTTTAGAATTTAAAAATCATTCTGTGAGTCCCCAAACCATCCAAACCATCTGCGCTTTACCAAGAGGGGCAATTATGGCTGAGTTGGGGGAATTGGTTTGGTTGTTCTCAGTGGTGCTATCTGGAATAGACTTCATGCCTCAGATGAACACAGAACCTTACTTCTCAGAGATGTAGCTCCTTCTCTTTAAGCCATTTAGAACAGAGGCCTAGCCCTGACTGGTGTGTGACATCTGGAGGGACTGGGGGGAGGGGTGCTGGTCTGGAGCTAGCCACAGCCTGAAGCTCGCTTGCTTAGCTATCTCCATGCTGGCAGATCAAAGCAGATTCTGGGCCAGAAAGCCCGAGCAGTTACACCCAGCACTTCTACAAAAGTGTACTTGCACTTGTACACTCCTTCTGTTCCAGTGCCTGATTTTTAGAAGCGAGCCTAATACTAGAGATGTGGCTCTGGTGGAATGTTTGTCTTTAATACTCCCTAGTCCTTTGGGGATTCCTTGGAGGTAATTTTTCCCTTCAAACATCCTTCCCAGCCCGTTGCAGGCAATATCTGAGTCTCTATTTTGATTGGGAGTGAGACTCAGGAGGGGGCAGAGAGACACTGAGTAGGGAAGAAGGGGTGAGGGCAGAGTCCTACCAGAACA